GTTTCTCTTTCATGGCTAGCACATTCAGGATGCTCTCAGATCACTCCTGCCGTACCTCTCTAGTCTACCAAGCCCCAAACACAACTGAAAGATATCAGATACAAGGTTCTTGTCGTGGCTGGTCGCCGGCGACGTTGGTGCACTCCTGTTCCTTCCGCTGGACGAGAAAAAAGTACAAGAGAAGCCTCTACCACGGTCCACGACTAGAGAAAGCGGCGACAAGAGCCCCCAGGAAAGTATTCACTTCTCAGGACGGCAAAGTTATGAAGACCTTCCCTAAAGAGTTCGGCGGTGAATCGACACCCAGTGACAATTTGTCACTTGTCCTGCTTCACCCAAAGATTACTCGGCACAACTTTGTCTGGTTTGAAACGACTGCGATCGTCTCCGGTTCATTCGTTATGCTCTGTAAGAGCTCAGGACAGGTGGGCCATCCTATCATTAAATGAGTTCGATCCATTGGTCTTTAACACTGCACCGCCGAGCCAGGTCCCGCGAACACTTACCTGATACACCAACCCAAGAGGTTTGAGAACCCCTTGGGTTTCGATCTACGCTAGGCTAGTCAAAAACTCGCTTCAACAGTTTCGACCGTACAGCAACATGTCCTTGCCTGTGCAGGGTCTGCGAGGTTGGCTCGCGGATCTTATCAACAAAAGCGAGGCTCGCTTCGACAAGTCTCATCTAGAGCACATTTGTGGGCAGCTCGCCTCACTGGAGTTCTGGTAAGATAAAGGCACGCATCTGTCTATTTGTGCTTATCGTCTCAGCCTTGGGGCCAAGGACGATACCGTGTCTAGAGCACGCTATCGCGACCAACGGCATGTTGTCCAAGTCAACATCAAGATCCACCAATCGCACAGAATCTGATATCGCCCTGCAGATTGAAAAGATGCATCCGAACGAGAAAGGTAGGTCAGCTGCCTTCAGGAACTGTGGAAGGAGACACATTTCCCGCTGCTAGGTCGCCATGGCTCGACGGCTGGCGATCCAATAACCAGTCAATCTCAAGCTGCAATATTTGCTCAGATACCTTCACATGCTGTGCACGGCATCTTTGAGCCGGTGGATGGTGGTGCATCAAAAGGACGTCGGGCCCATCCGATGTTGAAGGGCAAAGCTCTCCCCTGCATTACGAATAATTTCGAGCCACGATAGGCCTGCAGCTCTCATGGACTATTCTCACATATGCTGTCGGACTATCGGGGCTTGGAAACGGCTAATGGTATGCCACAAGCAGCCTCCGTCGTCTTCATCGAGGTGGCAGGGAAGGAAGGTGTAGCAGGAGATACCCGATTACGGTCTGGTGTGGCCAATCAGTGAGGTTGGTTTTCTTGATAAGACGGATTTTCTATTTTTCAATCCACTTGTCACTCTCCCGCGCGCCTTTCCGATGTTTCCACCACACTTGTCGCTCAAACGGGATGATCTGCCTTCCACTCCACTGTATGTCTCCATTCCGTCCATGTCTTGCTTATCAGTGTTTCCAGTTAGGCAACGCGCTTCCTATCGAGGGTCCGCAATTGGCGTCAGAATGCAGGTCAACTCTACCAACACTCCACGCCATGCCAATTCCCCAGCTTCTCGCGTGGTCGCACAGAGGATCGAAGATACCATGGTTCTCGTCCTTCATGCCGTTATCGGGCCTGCAAGGGGAGAAAAAATTTTCAGCTCCAGCCATCGCGTGCTCTGGTACAGTGGAGGAGATGAGGTTCTCTCCACGACCCCAGACTTTCTTTTGCCTCAATCCCTCGTTCTATCAACGGTAAGCCGTGGAGTATATAGAGTGAAGAGCCCGCCATCGGGCCACAGTACTCAGGGTCCGTCTCCGTCGCCGCCCTTGCCTCGAAGTCTAGCACCTAGTGTCACAAAGCAAGTGACTTATAGTCAAGATGTCAGATACAGCAGGAGCCGCTATTGTTCCACTTTCTAAGGGGTTCGGATATGGCATTATCCTGGGCCTCGGGTTCGCCTTCGCGCTCGGTATGATTGGGACGACATGGGCGCTCAAGAGATATCACGGAGAAGTCAGTAGAACCCGACTTCAGATTTGTTCCACGACTGAATCTTTCAGGTCCAAACCTCCGAAGAATTCTCGACGGCAGGGAGAACCGTCAAATCCGGTCTCGTTGCTGCGGCTGTCGTATCTAGCTGGACATGGGCTGCTACCTTGCTTCAGTCTTCGGGTGTGGCTTACTCGTATGGCGTCTCTGGGCCGTTCTGGTACGCCTCGGGAGCCACTGTGCAGATCCTGCTCTTCGCAACTTTGGCCATCGAGTAAGTGTCGTCCTATTTCACAGACACAGGACTTACTGACATTCGTGCAAGATTAAAGAGGCGTGCACCCAATGCCCATACGTTTCTAGAAGTGATCAAGGCGAGATATGGTGTTGTGACACATATTGTCTTCCTGATATTCGGTCTCATGACGAACATCCTTGTGACAGCTATGCTTTTGACTGGCGGTAGCGCGGTGGCCAGCTCTCTTTGTGGAGTTCCCACCGCTGCTGCCTGCTTCCTTCTCCCTGTGGGTGTCGTCTTGTATACGATGTTCGGCGGAATCAAGGCGACTTTTCTCACGGACTATGTGCATACGGTTATTATCCTGGTTATTATCTTTGTCTTCGCGTTCAGCGCCTACGCCACGAATGAAGTTGCAGGCTCTCCAGGCAAGGTTTGGGAACTACTTGTTGACGCCGCGAACCGACATCCCGTGTCAGGCAACAAGGACGGTAGCTATCTGACGATGCGAAGTCAAGAAGGAGCCATCTTTTTCGTGATCAATATCGTCGGAAATTTCGGTACGGTGTCCGGGGCCTGTCCTGCAAGCTTTTGCTAATTCACTCAGGGACTGTCTTCTTGGACAACGGGTATTACAACAAAGCCATCGCCGCCTCTCCAGTCGACGCATTGCCCGGATATGTCATGGGCGGTCTCTCGTGGTTCGCTATCCCCTGGCTTTGTGCTACGACGATGGGTCTTGCGGCTCTGGCCCTGGAAAACAACCCGGTCTTCCCAACCTACCCGAACCGCATGTCCCACGCCGATGTTAGTGCAGGCTTGGTCCTCCCCTACGCTGCCGTTGCCCTTCTGGGGAAAGGGGGAGCCGCCGCAACCCTTCTCCTGGTTTTCATGGCCGTGACCTCAGCCTCGTCTGCAGAACTGATTGCGGTTTCATCGATTTGGACATACGATATCTACCAGACATACATCAACCCCAAGGCCTCGGGGAAGTTCTTGATCCGAATGTCCCATGCCGCCTGCGTTGTTTACGCTATTTGTCTGGCTGCCTTTTCGACTGGATTGTTCTACGCTGGGGTTAGCATGGGCTACCTCTACCTCCTCATGGTAAGCTTTCGCCAAACTGTTATATGTGATAAAATGCCCACTTATCCGCTTGAAGGGTTGTATCATCAGTAGTGCAGTCATCCCAGCAACACTGGCCTTAATGTGGAAAGACCAAAATTGGCAAGCCGCTGCCGGCGCTCCGGTGTTGGGCTTCGCCTGCGCCTTGATCGCATGGCTCGTCACCGCCAAAAGGGAATGCGGCGTCCTTAACGTCGACTGCACGGGCTCCAACAATCCCATGTTGGCAGGTAACGTGACCGCGCTGCTCAGCCCACTCGTCTTCGTGCCTATTCTCACCTTCGCATTCGGTCGCCAGAACTACAACTGGGAATCCATGAAGGCGATCCGCAAGGGCGATGATTCAGAGATCATTCGTCGCGCTAGCGTGGACACGGAGATCCAACGCGAGATTGCCGCGAGAACAGCCGAGCAGGAAGCCGCCGAGCAGACCAAGTTGAACAAAGCGGCCATCATCTCGAGGAGTTTGACCGGGTTCATGACCATTGCGTTGCTGGTGCTGTGGCCCATGCCCATGTATGGGACTGGTTACATCTTTTCCAAGAAATTCTTTACCGGTGAGTTTCCCCATTGCATACACACGCGAAGATGTCCCCTCTCCCAGGCCTAACTCTCTCACCACCCCAATCCCGCCTGCTACTCTGCTACTCTGCTAACTCGCTTTCTCGAACGACTACAGGCTGGGTCGTGGTCGGCATCCTTTGGCTCTTCTGCAGCACCTTCTGCGTGGGGCTGTTCCCTCTCTGGCAGGGGCGCCAGACCATGGTGCACACGGTCAAATCCATCGTTCTGGACGTCACGGGCAAGAGGGGCCCCGCTCTTCACGGACGCCCTGCCGAGGTGGTCGAGGGCGCGGTCAGCGAGGAGTCGAGTGGCCAGCAGACGCCGGATGGTGGAGAGAAGGTCGTTGTCAAGGGCGAGTGAGAGAGAGTGCGCGGGGTCCCTCCATCCAGCCCATCTGTGCATCTGTCCAGAGATTGTGGGGGGCTATCTATCAAAGTGGGCGTGTAGCTGGATAGATAGAGTTCACTCGTTTTCATTTTTCGCTACAAAGATACCCACCGGCATGAGGCTGGGCCAGATTTGTGAGAGCGCCATGAAAGATGGAGGAGAAAGAAAGAGAGACAGAGACGAAGAGACTCGGCTCCATACAACAAGAACGCTCGGAGACAGATCGATCTGGTCAAAGCAAAGTCACTCACTTTTGTCCAAGATTCCATTTTCTCATTCTGTGCTTATAGTGATACAGCTTCTTTTTTTTCTTCGTTGTCATCATCGTTATCGTCGTCTTCAGTCAATCAGCCATGCCCCTACTTCTTGCTGTGCCGATTGAAATACCCTGCTCGCGTACTGGTTTCCCGTCCCATACCATCCCCGTAGCCACAACCAGCATTGGTCTACGATTGCAAATGATATCAAGTTTCACTTACTTGGCCATGATCCTGACAGACGATGGTTGCATTCTCAACTACACCGCCATGAGACAACTGCCAACGGCCAGGCTTTCAGGATCTGTTCACCCTAATGCTCGAAACCAACCATACGGGACGTGTCCGCACGGGCACCTCAGCTATGTGTCAATCTGTCTCTTAATCCCCGCTCAAACCCATCGTTCTCTGCTTGGTTCATTTTGTTTACTTCTTCTCCTCAGCGGGCTTCGTGTTGACGAGCCCAGACAAGAAGCCACCGAAAGCTTCGGGCTTCTTCATGTCTTCCCAGCTCTGTCGACGTTCGGAGTGAACGACTCTGTTTGCCATGAGGCCGGAGAAGATGCCGCCTTGGTTGGACGCGGAGGACTACCGTTCAGCCAGGGGATAGGTTAGTCATTGGACGAGGTGAGGAAGAGATAGCTAGGCAACAGCCTTAAATAAGAAGGTAGGTATATACTTACCCGTCTCCGTCCGGCAATCGCAGCCGCAACGCCTCCGCCAGGGGGGCTCATGGCAGTGGGCGAGCTCGCCTTGGGCACCTCGGCCGGCTTGTTTGCACTCGATCCGCTCATCCTTCTTGCGGGCTCATGCACTTCTCTCCCAGACATGCCCAAAAATCGCCTATCGCCGCCCCAGGCGTCAGGGTTGGAAAGCACCTTCTTCTCCACGACCGGGTAGTCGGGCAGAGCTGGTGTGGCTCCAGCGGCGGTGGCCGGGGCGGCGTTGGTGAGGACGGGGGAATCGGCGGTCTTGTCGCTGCCAGAGGAACCGGACATGCGGCGTGTGCTGCCTTCGTGGACTTCGCGGCCCGTGGGCCACATGAAGCGGCGATCTTGCCAGGACGACGAGGAGGACATGTTTAGGACGTTACCCTGCTAATAATTCTCCCGGTAGCCAATACCTCACGGGGGAGATGTCTGAGGTAATACAGATTGGGGGAGAAGGGTCTGGGCTTGGGACGTGTGACTTGTGACTTGTTTGTTTGGACTGACGACGGTAGAAATAGAAGCAAGTGATAGGTAGAGAGATATGGGAAGCGGTGATGGATGGGAGATTACAAGAGCGACGGTAGAAGAGGCACCACCAGCACCTCGAGCTACCTTTGCCCTGCTTTGCCCCCCTCGCCCCCAGCTTCCCTGCTCGCCTGGGATGCTCACATGTGAGCGGGCAAGGCGGAATAAGGGCCTCTCGCTCACTCCTTCCCCGCCTTCGACTCTTTGAGGTATTTAGTGTGTCTGGGGTAAGTTGGGCCGAACTAGTCCTAACTGGAGGTGGTGAGCTGATCTGGCTAATGACGTAGTGCCGGGGCCAGGTAACTTAGCCGAAGCCTCCAGACGCTTCACGATATGGAAGTCACGTGGGATATTAGACTGTGAGGGATTCTCAACTGACTTTAGCTTCTGATAACTTATGCTACCCGTCTTCACTCCTCTTCAGAATAGTATCCTAAATTTATAATTTTATATTCCGCTGAGTTACCTATCCTACAAATTCTGACACCACCTAGTAGGGTTGCCCATCGAGTGCGACCAAGAGCGAGTCGGAGGTCTAGGCTAGGGAATGCAGACATTAGCAGCACCTGGCTGGTATCAACACTTGCTGCTGGCGAATCACTCACTGGAAGAACTCCGCCTTTTCCTTGAACACGTAGCGGAAAATTTGGTTAGGGCACATGTACGGAGTACTCGTGGAGATAATGTGGTCAGTAGCTCAGACATTCTGGACCAAGCAATGCTGCTCGGATTTAACTCATGCTGGATCCATAGCCATCGTCTTCCTGCTGGCGACTGCATCAATATTTAGGAATGCTGGGTCCGCTGCAATATCAACTTCCATCAGACAGGCTTCGGAAATGATTACTTGTTAGGCCCTGGCGTATCGGTTTTTCTCATACCAGGCATGTAGAAACGAGTCGTGGGCTTGGCTAATATTTGGCGTAAAGTTCATAAATATGATCAGGCCGGCTGAATAAAGTCCGTACTTTCACTCTGCCGGATATGCCCAAGTCTTGAATTGCACATAGAGAGTGAAGGTGTTAGTGGGGCTGACCATCAAGAAACTCGAGACGGAGTGCCATTGCAACAAAAGAACACGGTAAAGGAAGCGTTTCAGACAGTTGTCGCAGTCATCTGAGACCCCGATATTGGTTATGCTCGAGCTCAGGCTGCACTAGTCCCTTCGTGAGAAGGGGTCCGAGTTCTGAGACAGGAACATCTCGTCCATCGACAGCACTGGTGACGCCTTCCGCCTGCAGCGCTGATTTTATGCTCGAGACTCACTCTCCTTCATCACCATCTCCATCCTTGGCCGAGCCTATAAACGGAAGGAGGATCCGTTCTTCTTCAGCTTCGTAGATGCGCTGCGTACATAGGAGGCAGTTAGCCAGACCATCTCACCCCAAGAAAGGCCCCGAGGAAATGAGACGGTGGGTGCATAAGACAACTCACCTCGATTGCCCGGTTTGCCGTCAACCAGCTTGCGATGAGCATACTCTGCAATACCCAACTTGTGCGGAAGACACCACTCCGGAACCGCCTAGCGTCCCAGGTATCAAAGCCCCGGTGTGGGAAGTTGGAATCCAGATGCAACTGGAGCAGCTGCGGGAACCGGTCAAGTGCCCGCTGTGACTTTCGCACGGCATCGCGATAGAATCCGACTGTGCCAAGAAGAAAGCCAGCACACGCCGAAACCAGAAAGGGGATTGTGGCGGTGTCGAAGATCATGGCGCCAATCGAGGCGCCACTCATGCCCAGGAAAATGGAGCCTACAGTGCCGGAGATGATGGCGCGTGCCATGCTGAAACATGACGCGGTCAGTACCTAGTACCTCAAAAAGGGGTATCGGCCTCTGGGGAGAGATACACGTACAATATTCCCGGGCCGCTGCGGCGAAGAGAAACCATTAGAACCAGCAAGACTTCTTCGAATTGGCAGCCGTTCGTCCTCACCTCACATTTCCCCAGCCTCCGCCCAGCCGTAGGATGCTTCTGTACGCGTCCGTAAACCCACTAGTTGTGAGGGCTTCGTGCCCGGGGGCTGAATTGCGGAAAGACATGATCCTCTGTCGGAAGCTCTCCAATTGCTCGGTCGATCAGTGGGTGTTCGACAAAGGTACAGATTACCTCTGACCGTGGGAAGCTTTCTGGCCAATTGGCTAGATAGACAATGATCGGCTCAATGGCTGATGGCTGCGCAAAGGAGTCTTGTGGACGGACGTACCCGTTATGGCTCGGTTGGAGCATTCGACAAAGCCAGGACTCGCCCAACCACCCTTTTTCTCGCGTCTCAAGAAGTGTGAGCAACTTTGTTTCCCCAGGTGCAATGAATATCTGCTCAACAAGCATGCCATTGATTTGGTCGGTCGGCAGAAAGGCGACCCTCCCCCCCTCAGCCCTGGCGCAATGCAAGTGGCGCCCAGCCCTCAGGAGAGTGGCCGGATGGGCCTAGGCTTTGTCATTATCGGTGGGTTGATGGTTGTGAGCAAATTTCCCTTTCGAAAAAAGGTGGCTGAGGGGTGCTGAGCACGTTTTTCCAGGCGCAAGTTTCTTGGCCTCGTTTCTCTCACGCCGCACAAGAATGGGACCAAAACAATGCTTGATTGGATCTCCTTATTGAATACCTGCTCACAGAATTTGAGTTGTTCACTCTACAGTGCCGACACCCTATATTCGAAGATGACCTCCTCGCCGGATGCCCGTTTTGATATGGGCCGAAGAGGGAACATCTCTGTAACCATCAAGGCGACTGCATCTAGGTAACATCCCACATTTCAAGGTCGACAGGGACAACATCGATATTCAACCTGTCAAATCTTCATAAGTGCCCTGCAGTCTCACGCTTTCATCTCAAGAATGGGTCACTATGGGTGTCGACAAGGTAGGAACGGCTAGCACTCTGACCTACAAACCTGGGGCGCTCGATTGAGTGAAGATCACTGACCGTGATCCAAGATACCGTCGATTCAGGCCATCCTCGTCGTCTAAACACGTCTCCCTTAAGATATCAGGGCGAGTTTGCTTTATGGGTGGGCAACATCCCCCCAAACATCACCATCATGAGTCTACGAGACTACTTCTCCGAACCGTCTCCGTGGGATCTGCTCAGCGTCTCCTACAACCCTGACGCCCGATACGCCTTCGTCAATTTCAGCTCCGAGTCCGCGCGCCTTTCGGCAATCAGGCAAGCAGCCTCTCGACTCTTTGACGGCAGACGCTTGGATTGCCGTATCCGGCAAGGGTCCATGAGCAGGTCGACCAAAGTAAACTACGGACTCAACAACATCAGGGGACCGCTGAACCGATCAAGCTCGATCTGCTGTGACAGGGCGAAAAGCCTATGGGGCAAAGTCGAGGAATTCTCACACTTCCCCGAGGCTGACAGATCGTCATGGGGGATGGAGAAGTACTTCATCATCAAGAGCTTCTCGCTAGAGGCCCTCTACCAGAGTCTCGAGACTGGTCGATGGCATGTGCCGAAGCGTCACATTGAGCGATTGAACCATGCATTTCAGGTAAGTGATAGTGGGCATGATGGCAATGGAACGTCTTCTTTAAAAAATTGATCTTCTTTCGCTGACCAGTGAAATTTTTCCGATTCGTCCCTTAGACAGCCAGCAAAGTGTACTTGATCTTCTCCGTGAACGGCTCCGGCTGTTTCTTCGGCTACGCAACCATGCGCTCGGAGATTCAAGTTGACGAAGATGACCCCGCCCTAGATAGCGACGAAGTCCACATATCCCGACACGACTGCGACGTTGATGACGACTCTGGATCCAGCCAGGCGGAGGCCGAAAGCTACTTGCAGCCCACACCGAGGTCGAGGACGGAATCGCTTGCGTCGTCCGACTCGTCGTCATCCTCATCCTCGTCCTCGTCCGGCTCGATCGTCTACCAGCCTGAGCGACGGAGAATAATATGGGCGGCGTCGTGGCCTCGGAGGACCATTAGAGAGTTCACGTCTCCAGAGGAACACCCGCCCGCGTCAGTAGCACCATCACCAGCAGCAGTATCGAGTTCATACTTCACTAACGAATCATCAACACAATCCCAGCCCCTGGCAGAACCGGCACCTCGGGACACCACGATCCAATCACCTCCCTCCCGACATCCGTGTCTGTCTTCTGCAGAGTCCATCCTCAACCGCCTCTGCCCCGGGGAGCACCGCGACACGTCCTTCCTCGACCGCTTCAGCAGCCCGTGCCCGATCAAATGGCTGTCAACGCAAAGCCTGCCGTTCAGCGCGGTCCGCGGCCTGACGAACCCCTGGAACGACGACAAGGAGGTGCACATCGCGCGTAACGTCACGCCCGTGGAGCCGGGCGTCGCGGCTGCGCTGCTTGGGTGCTGGGGTGCGGTGGCGGCGAAGGAGGGGAAGAAGACGGGAACGAGGGAAATGGTTCGCGGCGGGCAGTTTGGCTGAGTGAGTGGAGTTGCGTCGGGTGGTGGGTTCTCTCTTTAGACATGAATGAAGCCTTAGCTTTCCACCCATGATGGATGTATTTGCATATATACATATTTGCATGGACGATGAAGATCCAGGCTTTATATCGGAAAGAAAGTGGGAAGGCAGAATTTACTAAGGATAATAAAGATGATGACGATCATGACCATGTTCCCTAGATCTATCTGGTCAAGTTTGCTTCGCTATACTTTGCTGTGCTTTGCTTTATCGCTCTAATGTCCGCCATCGAATTTTGAGAGCATTACCCGCCCACTCCCCCAAATCCTTCCCCCTTGGCAACAGGAAGGCCTCGCCAGGCTATGATTTCTTTCTTTTGTCCTCTTCTAGCACACGTACGCCACGCTGCGCCACGCATTCGTCCCTCCGCGAGAGATGCGCCTAGCAGCCTCTTTCCACCTGAGTGTCGCGCCCGACCACCGAGGTACCCAAGGTCTGTCTATCTACACAGGTCGCCAGTTTCAAGACGCCGATCTGCCTTGCCTGCCTACCTCCCCCAGAGTCCCCCTCGCTATAGGATGGAGGCACTATACGGTGATGCAAATCCGAGGGTAGATCTGTTTCAACTCGCGATGTGATAATGGCGTGCGACCATCTCTGCACCGACTTGTCCAGGCGCACTGGATGGGCCATGGAGATCTTGAACCCGTTTGTATTATTCGACTGCTTTCCCGGTTCCATAGGAGGTACCGACCGATTGGTCAGTGGGATTTTAGCACTTTGTCACGCAGAAGTCAATGTGAATGGGAAAACACCGCGGAGCTCGTACCGCGAGGACAATCCATTTGATTTGGTCTCGTGCATAAATCCGTTCGTCGGTTTCATCTCTGAGAAGAGCCTGGTCGCGGTGTAGATGTGGATTGTACAGCCTGTTGCAGACGATGCCGTACGAAAATGCGGGCCGCGCGGCGGTATACCAGGTTGCTGACCAGGTCGCCACTCTGAGATGCAAACAGCCGAGCACGAGACATAATCAGGCCTCTGATGACTGTTAGCTGTCTAGGAATGACATTAGTTCAATATATCTCGGTTCCCAGGGCGATGCCTATCTCTTACGGATCTGGAGGATAGCCGAGTTTTGTCGCTGGCGTTATAAATCGATGCGACCTGAGACGTAGGTACCTGTGCCGGAACCGGTCGAGGACATATGGAGAACTTGCAAGCCCGCCAGAGAGGACTATATGACTCAAAAAGAAATGTTAGCCGCCGCGGGGGTAAAAGGCTACGGCAAAATGTCGTGTATCGATCATCTTACTGGCTGTAGATCAGGTGTAGCGGAAAGCGCTTTATTCATTTGGCGGTTTACCAGCTGGAATATCTGCCTGAGTTGTTCATCAAATAGTTGCTGTAGCTTGTGGCTAAAAAAGAGAATATGTTCAGCTTCCTGGAAGAAACATGAATACAATCGTATCAATCCGCGTGTCCACATGCAGCCGTCTGCGATGAGGAAGACTCTCAAAACACGAGTACAAACGGCCCATGTTGCAGAACAGCCATAGCAAACGCGGGCTTCACTTGCGTCGTTGGTAATAAAAAGCCCCTTTCTACATGCCACGATGAGTCCAAACTGCCTACTTTGTCACCCGCGGCTCAACTTCGGTTCAGCCTCGCATGCCATTGCCCAGGCTGTCTCCTCAACGAATACCGTCGATATACTCGTCCACGGTGTCTAGCAACCTTGGATTCTCTTATTAGCACCGTCCTTAGTGTCGCGTCGACAGACCTACTGAAAGGAGTGTGCTGCTCATGGGTCAGGCTGACCATCCCCGTTGCGCAGCCCAATCCCATAAAACCTTACATTATTCATGAAGAGGAGTCCCGCCAGGGACTGATCAACAGGCAGCAAGTCAAGCTGGGATATCTGCATCGGGTCAGATAACGAAGGAACATCCAAGTACTGAGCGTCATGTGCAGAATGAGCCGAATGTGCCAGATCCTGCTCTTGCCGTTGGATTGTGAGAGCAATTGCAGTGCCAGCTGGTACAAGGCCATGTCTTGTTAGGTCGCATTCGAAGACATCGAAATCACGGAATTCAGCCAGCGGCATCTCTATATCTACTTCGAAGGGATTCGACTGGTGCTGTGGCTGAAGGAAGGTGCATTGCTCGCCGAGTTCATGGGGTACGTCGGCATCAGGTAGAGAGTCGGCAGCTTTGTGTGACCCGGCGCAAAGTTCGTCGAAGGTAATGAATTGAGAAAGAAAAGCATCGTCCTCTGTGATTTCCATTATGAATGATGGTCGGAACCTCCCTTGCTTGATATTAAGAAGAAAAATAAAAAGGAGAGATGAGTTTCAGAAGAGCAACATCTAACTTTAAGTGCGTCGAGGCTACCAGCCATCAACTTCTGGTCGGTAAATAGGACTTGCATCTAGAGGCTTGAAGAGGTATAGCTTGAGCGTGACAAAGTGTTCTGAGGGCTTCAATCGGCATAGCGTATAATGATATAGACCAATAAGATAATTTCAGGAACTGTACCAGGAATATTATGGTATGTAACGAGCCTTATCATGCAGACTGACCAACAAGAATTTGCTTGTAGACGTATGCCGACTTCGTAATACCGTCATAAGAGAGCAAATGACCATAATTTAAACTCATAGCCGCAGGCCAAAATGGGTTAGAGGCAGAATTAAGCACATTGCACAGCATTCGAAGCGCTGCCAGTAACAACGATATAATAGGTACGCTGAACCCTGCATCGTGTGCGGGATCGTGTGCGGAGAGCCCAGAATGGATCATTAGCTTTGCTACTTCTTAACCTCTTCGACAAAAATATGAACGTAAATCAGCCGTGGTCATGAGCGGACATGTTATCACGCCTTCAGCTCCTAGCCGTGATACTGATTCCTCTCACGCGCTGACTGGTGACTACCTGTATGTCGTATAAGCTCCGCCGTGACCAAGCATATGATGCTGACCCCGTAGATGGGCGGGACTTCTTTGTACCTGAAAATCTTTCGTGGATGCTCAACAACGCTATCCAGAGATTGATTCGGTTGGCCGGTGAGATGGTGAGCCGCAACACAACCTGCGAGAAAGGGACGGACGGGAATACCGTTGAGCAAGGCCACATTGCGTTCGGAGCAAGAGATATGTATGGGAACAGAAAAATGTACATCTTACGATCATGTACCACCACGGGCATAAGAACTTCTCAACTTTCGCAAAACATTACTTTGGTGGCTGCATTCAACAAGGAGGAAAGAAAAGAAACTGGCGTTGGCGATGCTAAGACCGAGTGTAGGATCTGAGCGTGATAGATGTTTCCGGATGGAGACTGGACCAAACTCAGACAGGTTGCCGCCATTGTGTTCGAATGTTAGTGGACTACAGGTGTGCCGATGTATGATGCGCGCTTCTCAGAGAGCTATTAGAAATATTGTCAATAATGCTCGGCTGGATATTGGGCTGCTGGCCTGTGGTTGAGACGGGATACGGCGATATTGCCTCTTGGAGTATCTTCCATTCCCTAACTTCTTCCCTCCACAAATAGTGGTGGATGGTGAAATCCATCGCCGACAAGCATGATGGGAAAGTCTAGAAAGGAAGATCCTATAGGGAGCAAAATAATTGCACTCGGCATCCGGTCTAGACATTGAAGTTAAGTGAAGCCAACGTAATGCATAAGAAGAGATGGGGAAGCGAAGGATAGGCCGTAACTAGGCGTCTTAAAGTCGATCGACAGTTTTGCTTCCAGAGAACGGATAGAGACAATGCCTGTTACTGTTTGATTTGAAAAGACCAGTCAGCACATGAATGGCATATATTGCTGCCGGGCGTTTTCTGCTAAAGCAAAATTATGCCGTATATTTCGGCAACTCCTCCATCTGCTCAAACTCAGCCATCGAAATCTCATAGCCCAAATGCCTCTTGAGCAGCTCGTGGGTAACAAATCTCTCCGGCGTGTTGCCTTGCGCATCGACGAAGGAGACATGGTGGTTGACGTCGCTGATGCGTTGCAATTCGTTAGCATGGCGATGGTGATGCGGACACCCGTCCACGCCAATGAGGAAAATGGTGACGTGAGCCCACGAAAGACCCAGAAGATCCAGTTCGAACTCGTCCATGTCGGTGGCTTCGCCGTCAAGTAGAAGAAGCAAGCGTAGCATGGGCGTTTCTGGCCCGGCTTGCCATCCGTACACCGGATGATGTGTGGCAGACTCGGAATGCTTCTGGAAATGCAATTCTTTGACCTTCTGCCAGCCGGTCATGACGCGTGTTCCGCCTCCAAGCTTGACCCTGTGCCACATCGCATCAAGATTCTGGTGGTTAACGGTGCCAATGTAGTAGGCGGAACTGGAGAAAGTCGTCAGATCATAGCCGCGGAACTGGTGGTCGTGGTTTGCCATGGCATCGGTGAAGCGTCGGATGATTGCTTTGGCAACATCTGTATTGCACATTCAGCATTATGGACAAAACCCACGGCCCCTGGTGGCTTGGGGCATTTACCTTTGTTCTTTGGCTGCGTGGATCTGGAGTAGCCGGTGATGAGATACTGGTCGTAGTTCGGTCGCACCGGGTCAAAATCCATGGATCCAGAAACATCCAACAGAATCATCGTGTCGTCTGTCGGTTCTTCCGGTCGATCGTAAGCCACAAAGGGCGTGGGCATGACCTGCTTGGAGTAGCCAACAGAAGTATGTTGGAGGTGGCAGGTGTCGGTGGCGGAGTAGTACTCGGGAGGCGGTTCAACTGCTGTGGCCATTCTGGCACGTGCCATGTTCATTTCCGAAATAAAGTCCGGCTTCATTCTCATTCCAACACTGCCTTCTCTGTGGTTCAAGACCCAGTAGAGCCGTTCCTCGGCGGTATCCTCGTACCCTCGCCAGGCAGGGGTAATTCCTCGCCATCCGGCGGCAGCCTCGATGCTAAATTTCAGCGGATTAGAGGCTTGGTTGGCCCAAGCCACTGGAATAGGCTCAAAGTAACCAGCTCTGAGCAGGTGAAGATACTGAATGGGATGGCGAGCACGGAGGTCCGCAATCTTCCTGGTCATCCCAACCTTCTCCTGATATACTGCCACAATATGGCGCCATTGCTCATCGGGCCACCTGCCTTCCTCCTCTGCCAGGATTGCGTCCCGTAGCTCACGGCCTTGGTACACCATCTTCTCTGTCTTCGCAGCTGCTCTCTCTTCCGAAGATTTGATGCCAAAGGATTGCCTGAAACTAGCAAGCCTCGATATTTTGGCAGGCTTGGCCGCACTTCCATTCGCAGAAGAAGAGGCTCCTTCCTGTCGCGTATCATTCGAATCTTTCTCGTCGCCTGCCTTGACGGATCGCTTCTTATCATTGGCCGTCATGATCCTCAACTGGGACATTGCGGCCTCAAGGGCACCCTCATTCCAGATATCGACCTTGGGCTCGGCGGCGTCAATGTTTGCTTGCGCCTCAGCGTTCAGGCGATTGTTGAGCGCAATCGTCTGGTGGATTGACTGGGCGTGGTATTTTGGCTGCGGTCTTGACACTCCCCAGTTAGATTGGGCGTAGTAGCCGTATGGCGACACGACGCGGAATCGGTAGGGGTTCCTGTTAAATATGCCTGCGTTTTGATAATAGTCGTTGTAGGCCCTCTCTCCTATAAAGGCGGAGAAAGAAACGTGTCAGCCAAGTCAAACAGGGCACAAGGAATGTCAAACGGCAATGTTAACCTGGATACATGACTGCCTTCGACCACATTTCCTGTACTCCATATCGACTCCATTTCATCCTCTGGTAGTTGTGGATAGGACAACTGCAGTAATATTCCGTCTCGTGTTCGGGCTCAATCTCACTGTTGTAGATCCCATACTGCAGCTGGACATTCAGCAGTGCATTCTGCATTTGTTGCTGCCGGAACGTCAGTTTGGTGTCTGCCACTGTCACATTGAGCGGAAATAAAAACCCACTTCATCTCTGGCACGAACTTTGCCTGCTTCGATGACTTGATTAGTATGGCGACGAATAGATCTAGTCCGGCTCGCTGCATTCCTGGGCGGTGGATATGACGGCGGCGCGTAAGCTGGAGGTTGATCACGTTTCCCGTCGCCAGTTTGCTTGACGTTCAGCTGCGAGGCGTGAACAGAAGTGTGAACCGTACTTGCTGCGGCTATAGCGCCACATTGTTCTTGTTCCTGGAGGTCCTTTGCCAAGTGCCAATCTTCATGTTCGTCTTTTGAGTCCGAAGCATTTGTTTGGTCGCACCGAGAGCAGAAGTACCGATCCGCGGTCTTCTCAGAAGCATCATATACCAGATCAACAGGATTTCCAGCTTTCTTCTGTTCAAAGCTGCTGCTATTTTGCTTTGACTCCATACCAGCAATATCCGGTGGGACAGTGTTGGGGCAACAGGTCGTGTGGCAGCAAGACCTGTTGTCTAAATATGTACGTAAGATGCTCCGGGGCTGTGCAATGTCGGGTACGTCAACACGCGTGGCCTCTCCAATAATATCAACCAGCCGTCAATCTCGCCTCGGTCGAGCGCGGGATGGAGTCTGGGGTTTCGACTCTTGCCATCTAGCGAGGAATAAGCATCGTGCCCAGTCACGAGCCAAGATCTGTCACACGTGAAGCTAACCCGACAAGCTTTCTCCAAGCCTCCCGAAGCCATTCATTATTCGCGCAGTTCAGCCGCAGCCGAGTGGCTGAAGATGGTGTTCTGGGAGGAAAGATTATGCAGAATTCACCGTTCCATCCACAGCGATGCGATGGTGGCGATCTTTATTTTTACAGACAAGTCCGCCGCTTAAGGAGCGCGATGGTCCTACGTATCGAGGTGGCGGGCGGCGACGGCCCACGGGTTTGGCCATGAACGACTCGCCCATCCCTCCAAGTCTGCAGCATCGCATCACCTATCATGGACTTTGGAATTAAGAACTCTAGTCCTCTGCGCAACCTCACCGCAATCTCAATAAATATCCTTCTCATTTTCTAGAGTAATCAAGGAGCTAGTTAGCCTTACCGCTTCCTTTCAAAAAACTATATCTGGAAGTTTCAAGTACTCGCGTCGTGTAAACCCTCCTGAGATACTGTCAGCCACCGGCGACCCGGCCCAACGTCAACAATTCCAAATCTCTCTCAAGACTGGCCCAAGTGACAGCAAAGGCTCGGTAGAAGGGGACTTCGTATGAAGACGTTCTCACAATAGTTCCAGCGTTATCCATCCCAGTGTAATGTGTAGTTTGAGAATCTCCATTTCGTACATCTCGAATCCTCCCACTGCTCGTGCTTAGCTGACAAGCCTTGGCCCTTAAGCCTTGACATACTCCTCATGAACGCCGGCTGAGCTCTTCCTGCGAACAGCGGCTTGCTCAAGATCTGCCAAGGTGCTCCGACGCGCCTCCGTTGCACCCATATCCTTTACTTCGGTGAAGCTGACGGTTGGAACAAAGGCAGGTGACTTTCTAGCGGAGCTGATCTTGGCGTAGAGCTCGTCGACTTGCTCGAGAGTCAAGCCCTTTGTCTCGTAGATGAAGAAATACACGAATGCGCAGCAAATGCAACAGAATCCACCCCAGACGAAGAACACCTTGGATCCGAGATTCCTGTTCGAAAGATCAGAAAACCGCGTTTGGCATAGTAACTCGAAAGACACTCACGCATTGCCGGGACCCGGGTTTACCATGTATGGTGTAGCATAGGCGATGGCCCAGTTGAGTAGCCAGTTTGAGGCTGTGGTCATGGACAAGCCCTTCGCTCGGGCCTTCAGTGGGAAAATCTCACCTAGGCGGAGTCAGTAGGATGTCGAAAACATTTCATTCGATGAAGCAACGCACCTGTGACAACCCAGGCGCAAGGGCCCCATGAACAGGCGAAGAAGAAAATGTAGATGCAGACGAAGGCGATCAAGGCATTGCTGGCTGCCGGCTCACCAGGTCTGGCAGTGCCTACGCTTGCAACGATAAGTTGACAAACCGACATGCCGATTGCACCGAAGAGAAGCAGCGGGCGTCTCCCCCAACGCTCGACCATCCATAGACCGGGAACAGTACTGCAGACGTTGACGACGTCCGTGATGACCGAGATGATGAAAGGGTTGTGTATCCCAGCACTAGTGAAGTAAGTCGTGCCATAGTAAAAAATGAAGTTGACACCCGTGAGCTGTTGAAGGGCCTGGAGAGCCATGCCAGTAAAGAGTCGCTTCCTGATAGGCGCCTTGAAGCAGGCGAGGTAGGAGGCTGTTCCAATGGCCATCTCATACTCGTGGTTGGCAATAATCTCGGCGAGCTCCTCACGGATAGCAGGGTGGTCCGCTGGAAGCCTTCGGAGACGGGCGAGAGACTTCGCAGCCTTCTCACCATTTCCTTTCTTGATCAAGAAACGTGGTGTTTCAGGGAGGATCAACATTCCAACAACCAAAATAATGGCCCACGCGAACTGGACAGCGATGGGAATCCGATAGGACCCGGTATCATTGCGGTTTTTGGTGGCGTTAAGGACAATGGCCGCGAGGAAGAGACCGATCGTGACTATCGGTTCGAGTCAGTAAGGCGAAGACCGTCGAAAGAAGGGCAATGAACCCGAACGAAGGGAACTCACTGGCCCATTGATAACAACCGACAATGGCTCCTCTGATCCATTTCGGCGCTGTCTCTGACTGATACAGTGGAATTGTGGCGCTTAGGAGCCCAACACCCAGGCCGGCGAAGAAACGGCCGGCGACGAACATTGGGATAGCAGTGGCAGCAGTCTGAAGGATAACGCCAAAGGTAAACACGACAGTGTTGAAGATCACTTGAGTGCCCTGTTAGTACAAGATTCAGGGTCTATGGGAGAGACCGAAAGAAAAAAAAAAATAGGAGCAATGAACTAAGGGGCAACCAGTCGAAGCATTTTCAACGCAGGGGACATTTCTGGGCAAACTATAGAACGTTCTGCGACAGGCATAGGCACATCTGCGATGAAAATCATGTTTGTACGGGCAGAGAAACTTACTGGCCAGTCGACGACCTAGGATATCGGCGATTGGAGCACTGAACAGAGCACCGAAGAAAGTGCCCGCCGACAAGATGGAGACAATCTCCGATGTTTGGCTCGCCGTCACATCGGGATAATGATCTTTCGGGTTGACATATCCGGTCGAAAAGAGATTTCTCCAGTATTTCATGGCCAATATGCCGCCTATGGTACCTGTATCATAACCAACTGTTGCAATTAAAGATGGACGTCAGTAAGGCCGTGGATGTACATACATCTTCTGAGCAAGGCATTAGAACAACTTACACAAAACACCGCCAAAGGCAACAAAACATCCTATAGCGATAGCTGGCAAGGCCGAGCCTGGGGAGTCTGCAGGCTTTGAGAAGAGGAAAGGCATGGTGTCGTTTGTATGTGGCTGATCTGGGCAAGATTGAATAGATTATAGATGCGCAGTCAAGAACGCCGGAGGACGCGCAGCCTATATATTGAAAACGACGATCAAGCGACAGGTCTTCAGGGTATAAATACACCTGCTTTGTGCGTTCATGGGTCTCAGACATGTTGAGCCCAGAGACATCGAAGGTCGTATTGATAGCAGCAGTCGACTTCTAGGTATTACGCCGAGCGTCGGCGAAATATGCCCAATTCTGCATAAAGCAGGATCTTCGCATCTCCACAGATCACACACCGCTGTTCCATTCATGTCTTAGCTTTGGTGCTGTGAATACCCTGGGACGAGGTTCGCAGCGCCAAAGCAGGCGATCTCGTGTTCTCGTTGGTAGACCATGTAATCGAGAGTTCGATGGACGTTGGACAACGTTGCACAATGAGCTCATCCTGGGAATGCCAAAGCGGGGAACCCAGAGAAGACAGAGACTTATCGCAAAGAAGCTTACTGCTTGGTGTCCGTCAATCAGGGTGTGATGACCAACTACGGACAAGGTATGGGGTAAAATTGTGAGGGCCGGTGGAGAGCGGCCCATGCAAGACGGACTATCATTTCTCCGTATTTCACCGAGGCAGCCACTCACAGATGCTGACCCGATCCAACTTCCACCCCGCAACTCCGGCTTTTGAACGATAGCCGGCACCAGACACCACCATCCCATTCAGAATCCATCTTCAACAATAATAGACTTCCGAGTCCCCTCCCTCGAAAGCCGAAATTGGCAGCCTCACACGAGGCTTTGCCATCTAGTCTTCTACGTTAATACTGTACATTGTTAATCAATTCGTTCTCTCATGCTTTACACTAATGAACATCCTTGCTTTGCATGCAGCTCTCCATCAATGTTGTGCCCTCAGCAATATTTGGCGATGAGCATGCTGCTCTGCGACGTTGGGAAGATCAAGGACAACACCGTCCAGGAGCCGACTTGCTCGTCTTCAAACGGTTTTTTCCTTTTCTTCTTCTTCCAATCGGTCCGATTTTGCGTGCGGGTCTTCGACAACATGGTAAGAAACAAGGGGCTGGCGCCGAAAACTCTCGTTGGATATATCGCGTGCGCAATTCGATATAATTCGCATCGATTATTTTGGGCCGACGAGGTTGAAATCGTGCATTGAGGTTAGGGGAGGGCCTCGGATGATATCACCATTGCCTTAGCAGTCTATCATATTTAAGTCGGCTACACTTCTATGGTGTGATGGAAGGAGGAAGCAACGTTTCGGTACTGAGTTTCTGATGCTCACCTCAGGCGTCAACGATCATGGTTTCGTCAAGTTCGATAATATATGCCGCTCTGATTGGCTCTTCCTACGCCCAATCCTCCAAATATGGAGAGCTGTCTCTACCTACAGGAGTTCCAATACCGGGAACCTATAGCGGTGCCCTTCGACCACAGGTCCATTTCTCTCCTCCCCGGGAGTTCATGAACGATCCCAGTGGGATGTTTATTGACGCAAACGGGATGTATCACTTGTACTACCAATGTACGTACCAGGCCTCTCCAGAGACCACTTACTAACTGTGGAAGACAATCCGACCGGCGTTGTGGCGGACAATCAGCACTGGGGCCCATGCAACCTCCAACGACCTGTACCATTGGGTTAACCAGCAAATTGCCATATTCCTTCCCGACGCGCATTCTAATATCTATTCGGGATCGGCGGTGGTGGACGTGAACAACCTGTCGGGGTTCTTTCCGCATCAAAACAACGGCGTGGTGGCTGTCTACACCATCAACACTCCCACGTCTCAAACGCAAGCACTTTCATATTCCATTGATGGTGGATACACTTTCCGACCATACTCTGGTAACCGGGTGCTGAGCGACAACTCGAGTCAGTTCCGCGACCCCAAGGTCATCTGGAACGCGCCCACCCAGCAGTGGGTGATGGGGGTCGTATATGCGCAGGCTCTCACCGTTGGGTTCTTCACCTCTCCCAACCTAAAGGACTGGGAACGTGTGTCCAACTTTTCCCATCATGGCCTGCTAGGTGACCAATATGAGTGCCCTAACCTGGTCGAAATTCGAATGGAGGGCTAAAAGGAACCGATCTACTTGCTCACCATCAGCATCAATTCCGGCGCGCCCCTCGGTGGCTCCATAACGCAATACTTCCCGGGCTTCTTCAACGGCATCATCTTCACGCCCGTGGATGGTGCAGCGCGGATTGGCGATTTTCGGCAAGGACAATTATGCGGGCCAGTTCTTCTACGGCATCCCCGGCGACCGCGATCAAATATCCATTTCCTGGACCAGCAACTGACAGTACTCGCCGCTGGTGCCTACCGGACCCTCGGAGGGCTGGCGTTCATCCATGTCGCTCCCCCGCGTCAATTATCTGAAGAACATCAGCCGGGTTGGCTATGATTTGGTATCCGTGCCGTACAGCTTGTCGCTCGTGATCAACACCACCTCATCCCTGGTTCAAAAAACCATGGTGGGCAACAGCAGCGTCCGCCTGGACTATTCCTCATTCGCCTCGGGCGCCCTGTACTTCCAGATCAACATCACCGATATCCTGACCGCCAACATCAGCGGTACCGCAAACTTCACCTTCCTGTCGTCCCGGTGCGGCGAGTTGGTGTGCGCAGGCTATTTCTTGGCTCCGGACAGCGCCTTCTTTCATCGACAGGGGCAACACGCGCGGGTTCGATAACCTGTTCTTCACGGACAAGTTCTCCACTGGCTGCCCGTACAATTCCTCCGCGTCTTCATACACGTGGCGCGTCGAGGGCGTGATCGACCGGAGCATCCTCGAGGTCTTCATCAACGGCGGCGAATCGTCAGCCACCGTGACCTTCTTCCCGGAGCAGGCGCTCGATACCCTGGCGATCAGCGCGGGCGATTTGAACCCCGGCGTGGCTGTGTGGGCGGTGGTGCACGGCCTGGACAGCGCGTGGGCAACCTTCGAGGACGTCGACGGAACCGTGCTGGGCAACGTTCACCGGGCACAAGTGACAGAGATCAGGAGAGGGATACCTACTCGGTTCTAATAAACGTCAGGAGTTTTGAGGTCTTGGATGTTGATCAAACGGACTAAAAGTACCATCTGGTGAAGGAGGTGCAACCCTCCAGGACCACCAGATTTTACCGCGTGTTGTAGGTAATATTCCCCTCCATCCTTTCCGTGGATAATCCGGCAATCTGTATCTCTGACAGGAGGAAGCGATCGGCCGCCTCGGTTGGGGTTATATTCCAGGAACAACAAGGACCTGAAAGTAGTTTCTCGTTCCTTACTAATGGCTGGCCAGTCCTCAACACGCTTTTCAGCCCAGGAAGTAGCTATGCAGCCTGCAAGAGCTCGTGTGGCTGGGTCTGGCATAGATACATACAGCTGAAGGACTCTCTGCTCTACTTTCTTTCCATCGTCCAGTGTAAGTGCACCCACACCACCTTGCTCTCCACTCATGGACCATCTACAGTTAATACCCCAACCCCAACGCCACGACGAGGCCAAGTCCCATGCTCCACGCAAAGCCCGCCATGTGCGGCGCGCTCGCCCTCATAGCAGCATTGGTGGGCGTCGCTCCGCCGGCGCTCGCAGTCACCGTGACGGTCGCAGTGGCCTGTGCCGCACTCGATCCGTTTGCCTGCTGCTGGGCGAGCGGGTAAATGTCGACGCCCGTCGAGTTCTGACACTGAGCGCCTGCGAGGATCGTTGCGTTGGCGCTGAATCTGATATCGGCGCACTGTAACACCAAGACGATGCAATGTCAGCAAGCTTGCAACGTATTTACCGCCTGTCAATCAGGGCAATAAGGTGGGTGGAGGGCGTACGTTGTACAATGCCGTTCCGCTGTCTCCGATCGTGATGACCTGCAGCGACGCATCCATGCCGTCGACAACGCCCAGGTCCGCAGGGAGCGTCCACTTTGGGATGCAAATGGTGCCGTTACCCGTCTCATTGAGCAGCATCGGGTTGAGCGAGATGTTGAAGGTGGCGATGTCGGAGCCGAAGCCCAGGTTGAAAGCGACGTAGGTCCACGGGTGGTGGAAGTCGATCACCAGTGACCCGCCGTCAAGGGGCCAGAGGGTGCGGTTGGCATTGGATTCGGTGGTTGTGTTGACGCCCGCGCCTGTCTCGGGAAACAACAATCAGTTTTGAATACGGTCAAGGCTTTGGATGTTTGGGGAGTCCATATAGACGTGGGTTGGGAGGGGAGGGCCTGTGGCTTTGATTCATGCCACTTACATGGGAAAGTATACTGCGACGCAGGCGGCAGGAACGAGTCGCCTCGCCAGTACGGGTATACGAGCTCGAAGTGAGCGGAAGCTAGCTGGGCCACGGCTAGGAGGGCGACAATGAAGAGCTTCATCTTGAAAAAGTAGGCGGAGGGGAATAGTCTAGACTCGAGTGAGCGACCACGAGGATGTGTCTAGCCTAGGAGGCGCACCGAGGAAGTTCAATTGCAAAGACCAATCCTCGGACAAGGGAGCTCCAGTTTCCCATCTCACGGCCCTCTGGACCTTTTGTACTTTTCCCTCCCTCTTCCATGAGCCGAGAGCTCCTCTCCGCTCTCCAATCAGACAGGCCTTTTCATCGAACCCGTGGCTAAGGAGCGCTCCACGCTGGGTTCGAAAGAGCAAAAAAATAGTCTAGGTCCAGCAGGCACCACTCCGATAGACATCCAAGCGAACACCAGCCCAAAATTTCCGCCGCCTTCTCATTGGCGAAGGACATGCCACAGATACAAACAATAAAACTTGCTCATCTGGACGGTGCATTCCCCTCGGGTCTTGGTATTGCTTGGCGCTGGCTCCGTAGACCGGGCGAACCGTGGTATATTGTGCTTGATGCTGGTGCTGAGCGAGGAGTGGAGACTGTGGCTTGCATTGAGGACAAGGGACTACATGGTGGGCCGGAACGGTCCAACTAAGGTACTGTGGGATAGGACATGACCTCGCATGTATAGTGACTGAGAAGAGGGAGACGTCTGGAACAGAGGGCCCGCTCCGGAGAGAGATATGAACCCGGTACAGGGGACAATGCTCGGCCAAGGAATGGAGTTCAAAAACACAGTACATGTCTGGCTTCATAACTCATCTAGAAATGCTTGGATATATAGTCTTCATAACCGTCACTATGCCTTCACCATCCATAAGTCTCACAGAACAGATATATACCTTGAGCGCCCGTTCCTTTGTGGACAGCTCTCTCGTCCGACAGTTTTGCAACATAATTTCTGAGTTGCCCCGAGAAGTGGGTGCCGCCGCACGCAAGGATTCCCGTCTCCCCCCATGCCGCTTCCACCACGGGATGGATGAGAGAATCAAAGTCCGGACGACCGTAGCCGATGTATATTGTGGGCTTCTCACTCAGTGAAGAGGACGAGCTGACCGAGTTCTCGCTCACGCTGCCTATTTCTCTCTTCTCCATGGGAAGCTTGATGGGAATTGGTGTTTTGTTCGACGTTGGTGCGCCGTCGGCCAGTTTCTCTCTGTTTGAAGGGTCTAATTCTAATGTTTGCTCGAGCAGGGCGTTGCCCTCAGATGGCGACCCGCTTCGAGACTGTCCGCTTCCGGTGACGAAGGCGTATATGTTTATTCTGATGTTTCGCCGTCGGGCTGCCATCCAGGCTGAGAGTAACTCTTCCTTGAACCAGTCGAGCTGCTCTGCTTGCTGGAAAATCCAGATGAAGGAGATTTGTCGTAAATTATTGGTCGTTAGGACGGCTTGCTGAAAGATGGGCAGTGTAAAAGACGCGCCGTTGCCAGTAGCCGCGAAGACCATTGATTCAAATCTTTCAATAGAAGGAGGATTTCCCCACGGTCCGCTGATGAATGATAGGAAAGTCCGTGATGTCAGCTGATTTTGACATTGTCGGTATAGCCTTTTGGTGAATCCGTTGTGCACTCGCACATATAGTTCAATATTGTTCGGCCCGTTTTCTCCAGATATTGATTTCGGGACGCTGGCGATGGTAAAGGGATGTGCTTCAACGATTCCCGCGCGGGGAATGGACAGGTACACATGCTGACCAGGCCGCCACGACAATGCGACATTCCGGACTGTAACCTGCAGAAATTCGCCTGAAAGGGCCTTGACCTCAGCCTCATAGCCAATGCGCCGGCCGGACGGAACGCGGCCCTTTTTGGCAGGAAGGAGGTGTAAGTTGATGACCAAAGACATGGCCGTCCTCACAAGCCTGTCGAAGACAACGACGCCAATGGCAAACCAAACGTTGTATTGTGCATAAGAAGGGACGTGGGAATGAACCAACCACAGCAGGACCATGGCCGCGGCGAGATGCTGCAGGAACCAGAGTTCGTACGAGAGGTTGCGAAAGAAGCCAAATCCGGTGATCACCATCCAGCCCAACACCGCCCAAGCGCCAAATCCATATTTGACCATGGGCATCCATTTCAGTTCCAAGCTCACAAAATCGGCAATGGACCATTCGGTGAAGAAGTAAGACCAGTGGACGATGACGGTCAGGAAAATGGTGCGACTGACCCAACGGTGCAGCCAATTTAATCTTTCATACGAGATGCCGGTCAAGATGGTGATGATGTTGGCTTTCCCGGATAAAATGTAAATCAAGGGGAGTTGGGTTACCGAAACCCAGGCGGCACGAAAGCCCACAATCTCCCACTTGTAAGCGTAGTTTGGCGAGGAGGGGGTCAGGATCACATCCGACCATAACATTGTCAGAATGACAGCCCAATAGGTGAGGAGAAGGAGACATCTCCCTAAAGGCGGAGGGGTGAAATATTTGGTAAAGCTGCCTGTGCATGTCCACAGTTGCGGGTAGGCCAGCTCCCTGCAGACAGCGATGGTGGTGTCGTAGAGTTGCTCGAATGCATTTTGCGGTCGTCCGGGAACATGACCAGGCCGCTGCTGGGATTTTCGTTTACTGTTTTGGCCTTGTCAGTAACAAAATCAGAGGTTGTTCATATAGTTTTGCCTTACTTCCACACGACTCTGAGCCAATCCACCACTCTCCGAAAAACGAGGACGCCCACGACTGCCGACACCAAATACCAGTACAGATGCGCCACCTTTTTATTGGTGGGCGTGAACATGTCGGCACTAGACATGTCCATGCCCCCCATCCCGGACATTCCTGACATGTCCATGTTTGCGGTTGATTTTTTGGTGGTGGTTATAGTGGTTGTTGGTGTGCAAGGAAGTTATCCCCCCTCAACGGGTGAAATTATGGACGCAGATATCAAGGAGTTAGGTGTCGGACGTTCGTCAGTAGAAGATTAGTTTTAGTTGACGTGTGTCATCATGGTTCCAGGTGCATGGTAAGAATAGACACAGGGATGCCTTCCTGGGGATCCGAAACATAGGAAACGTGCTCGTCCGGCACAGAGGCGGAGAAGTGAGCCAAAAAAAGGCGGCGATCCTCCGACGGCAGGACAGCGTTTGTGCAAATAGGTATGTAGGTTGGCGCATGGCGGGATGCAGAAGTGAGTGAGATGGAGAGTAGCTAATAAAGAAAGCTGGTGGTATCCGAGTAGTGGTGCTGGCTGGTGTTGGTGCAGGTGGTGCTGGTGGTCCCTCGAACGTGGTTTAGGTGGCGGCGATATGCACTTCAGGCCCAGGCGTGTAATTGGCTGGAAAACATGCTCGTGTAGTGAGGGACCCACCTGCGAAACTTGCTCACCGCGACTAGCGCCATGCAGTGTGAAAGAAGTGAAAGACACCATCACTGAAGGAAGAGTGAGGAAAATGTGAGCTGAAGCTAAAGGCGACGATGGACGGAGAACTAATATACAGAGAGCTTGTGCCTGAGGAGCAGATACTGAGTTGATTGATACAAGAGAGAAACAGAGCCTCGCGTCTTGGCCACCAAAAGCTTCATTGAAACCTGCCGCTCCCTTCCTTTACCACTTCTTGCATACTACCTAGGTACTGCCCATTCTCTCCAAACCACAATACAAACATGCACTTCCTCCCTCATCTCGCTCTGCTGGCCGCCTCGTCCCTCTGTGCCTCCGCCCACTTCATCCTGCAATACCCTACTTCCCTCGGCTTCGACGATGGCACTGAAGCGACGGCGCCCTGTGGTGGCTTCGACGTCACCTTCAACAGCTCCGACGACTCGATCCCCGTCGGCGGCTTCCCAGTCTCCATGCTGAGCACCCATCCCGCCGCCGACTGGCTCTTCCGCGTCACCCTTGACCAGAAAGCCCCCTTCAACTGGACCAATCTGCTCCCCGTCGTGTCAGAGACTGGCCTGGGTCAATTCTGTCTGCCGCAGCTGGTCGCCCCAGCTGAGTTTGCTGGCAACAAAGGCGTAGTCCAGGTAATCCAGAATGGTCCCGACGGTATTTTGTACCAGGTAAGCTTGCCCAAAGAAGGGGAGGGGAGGACCAGCGCAACGCTCAAGCCAAGGCATGGGCTGACATTGGATTGAACCTCGCAGTGCGCCGCAGTCAACTTCGTCAGCGGCGTCAACTCAACCGTCAGCTCCAGCTGCACCAATGTCACCGGCTTGACAGCAACCCTTACCAACCAGAATAACTTCGACACCAGCTCATCATCTTCAGCCGCCGGAACCATGTCGGCCACTTCCTCCCCATCGGCCTCGGCCACTGCCTCGGGAGGTGCCGCCTCGTCCAGCTCAGCTGGTCTTGCTGCTCCAACGAACGGGCCTCAATTGATCCAAGGTCTTGTCGCTGCCGCCGGTCTGGCTGTTCCATTCTTTTTGTAAGCAGGCGGTGGCAACTGTCCCAGTTAGTTGCAGAGGATTGCGGACTCCTGGGTTAAGAAAAGATGTATGAATACATATAGAAGAACCAAAAAAGTCGAGAACGAATGTGGGATACAAGGGGAACAAGGACCCCGGGAGACTATTGGCATTATGCGTGTCAATCGGACCGTCGCCTTCATTGCCGTTGCCTGCCTTGACTTTTTGTCAATAGAATTGCACGGACCCTGATACCGTGGTCCATCATGGTGCGCATGATGGAGCGGCGAAGCACTTCGGTCGTCCCAGCCTTTCATTACCTTGAGCCCTTTGTGCGTCCGGAAGGAGCGCCCCCCCTGAGCCTATTGTGCGTAAACCTTTGCCCTCGGTTCCCGCCTCTTCTTGAAACACGGACCTCTGGCCAATGAAGCGCAGCTTGCAGTCTCCACCATCAGACGAGAGACACACGGCTGACTCTCCCACTGCCTGCTCGCTGCCCACTGACAGGAAGTATGTAGAATACGCAAAGATCCCTCACCACAAGCAAACCCCACGCCAGTTCCCTCTACGCCGTACAAGTCCAAGCCGAGAGCCGACTTTTCCATGACTTTCGTTTGATGCTGGTTGGTTGCCTCCCTTTTCGCCCTTCGCTTTCGTCGACGATCTGTCTTGTCAAGACTCAGGACAACGCAGAAAGCACATGCAGGGTGGGTGCTGTGATTGGGTTGCAGGAAAACGCAGAAACAACGCAGGGCGACTCGGCCAACAGACTTCGCTTCTGCGCTCGTGTATAAGTATGGGGGTGTCTCCTCCTCTTCCTTTCCTTCGGTGGTATCCATCTCCCCCATTTCTTTCACATCGACTCACTCCCATCTTCTGCCCACCTCTATTAGACAACAGACACACCAGAACTATCAAACCACTCAACATCAAACTACAAGAACACTCATCTCAAACAATGGGTCCCTGCACTTGTTCCGGCCCCAGCAGCTGCAACTGCGGCCCTGGCTGCAAATGCACCTCTTGCGGAGTAAGTCACTTCTCGTCATCAACCTGAGCTGCTCGAAAGAAAGCCAGTGGTCCTAACGGCGATCACCAACAGCATTAAATTCCCAGACTATTCTTTCTGTGCATGTCCTTTGCGAGGCCAGAGATCAGACTGGATTTGCCAATGACATTTGTCATGTCATAAGGTCGCAGTGTCAAGGAGGCTAGTGAAGGATGCAGGTGGTAACTTTGGGATTCATATAGCTAATGAATACTGTTGTTGCCTTGATGTTTCGACCGACGGGGGATCTGACCTACGGACTTACTTGGTCTTTTGGTGTGCACGCCGACCCTTTATCCCGTATAGTTTCGGCTTGTAGTGCCTAATATTATAGAGCACGCACCTAGAAGAACTCCTTACCCCCTTCCTCAATTAACACAATTCAGCCAAAACATTACGGCTCGGTGGCCCAAGGCTATATCCGATGTCATACTACATTCGGCTCTGTCGCATCGATAGCACGACCAAACCCCGTTCCAGGTCGATCTGGACGGGTGGATCGTACAAAATGATCATGTCGGACCATCTAGTGGATCCTCCAAGGATTTCTAGAGTCCCCGTGGCGATATATTCGTCGGCGGGCCCCAAGAACAGGTGCGTCTAGTGTTGGCCATTTTCTCCCACGAGGAGTGCGTAGGCCTGCAATTCTCCTGCTCTCTGCGAATCGACCAGTCGCTGCTGAAAGTCGGTGTTCTGCATCCCGCATAGCGGACAAAAGCAAACATACGGAACGAGTTTGTACGGGATGCCTGGGCTGTCTTTGACAATGCTCCACCTCTTCGGATCAAGCTGCAGAGACACTTCCCGAGACATCGGAAATTCAGATCCGTTCTTGTTCAACCTGACGGCCCAACGGGGTAGTGGCATTTGGGGGTCGCGGGACGTTTTGTATCGTTGTAGGTATTCCAGTGCCTGCTGAGCACGAGACAGGGCATCGGCAATTAGGGCAGAGGTCATTCCGAGTTTGCTGCACAGGGTGGAAATATCGCTGTCTGAAATCCCGCGCGAGGTAGTTGCGAGCACGGCGATCAAAAAGTCCGCCATCGGCATTTGGTAGTCGACCACAATATCTCGGCCAGTTGAAGCCAACCCACGGAATGCGTAAACGTTACCATGGATGTCGCAGCAATCCGATCCAACAAAAGTCAGCACGAGCAAAGTCAGATCATCCGTAGTGACGGTGTCAGTCTTGGCCAGCCGCTGTTGACAAAGTGTAAAAGCGATAGAATATCTGATCCCCAACGAGAATGGCCTGTAACGCCAATACGATCAGTCCGTTGCATCTTCTGGTATGTTTCCAATCATGTCGATGTATCGAGCCCATATCTTCCAGGGGACCCGCTTTAGGCCACAGACCAACTCGAGACGACAAGCCAGGAGGACTTCTTGTACAATCCATGCTCTTGTCCACTATGTCCTTTGGCACAGGTTGATAGCTGCCTGTGGATGTTTGTCGCCGAAACTGAAGAATCGTCTTACCGTCGCTGGTGCTTCGGACACATGCTGCGGCAGACTGCTGGTAGATGTGCACTCTAGATCTTGTTCTGCAAGCCCAGTTAGAAAGTCGAAGAGATCACCAGTATCACTAACCCCCCTAGGCCGAGCTAAGCTATCCCTTTCGAAGCTTTCTCGTAGATATCTTTCATGAGTTAGACTTGGTGGTTTTTCTCTGGCACGTCATCCTGGTTGGTACAGATGGCATCCACCCAAAGGTTTCATATGCCAGTGTCTGCGTAGCATTCAAGAAACCGAAATCAATTTTTCCTGGATGTTGAATCCTGCCCCATTGATTTCGATAAGACGTCGGGCACCATCTTTGGAGCCCATTCATATGACAGAGCAGCATATTTGAGGTCAGTCCTGTTCCCAAGAATGCTCACATGTCGCATTTCACCACATATTGGGCCTCCTGCACGTCTTGGGAGAATGCTGTCGTATGACGTGGTGCGCAAGATCTAAGGGGCTGTGCTTGAAAGCTGGTAGACGCGTCAAATACCCGTTGCCTGGTTCAGCCGGACGGTAAGAATATTCTTGTTCTCACGCTTGTTTTGCGGCAAGAGAGAACGTTCAACACGCTCTCTGGCCATTGTGAGCCCGTCGGCAACGATGCATGAAATTGAAGGATTATCTTTGACGACAAGGGCGTGTTCTTAAATGCTATCCTATGCCAACCACCGAGGTCGACACCAAGGCATCGTGAGGCTGTGCTCAGAAATGTCTGCCAGTGCATTTCCTGAGTTTATACAAAGAGCTGGCAGGGTCCACGAGGTCGCACACAGCATGGAAGTCGTGACATGTTTAAGAAACGCGAAGTCTCAATCGTAGGTCGAATGCGGGTACGCGCACCACAGTGATGTCACTAATGTTCATTGGGCAAGGACCGTTGAACAACCAAAGTACTCGCGGGGCCGCCTCGTGAAATGGAACATACTTGTACATGTAATACCCGCTGCGCCACCCCTAAGTAAAGGCCGTGGTCGACCCGCGCTTCCGTTTGCGGGAGGGCGCCACTGAGAGTTAGCAGCCGCAAAATTCAGCAAAAGGATTGGTCAGAATTGCCAGGCCGAAGTGATTGAGAGATGGAAGAGAGCTGTCTATGACAAATGACGCAGGGACGGCTATGATCAATAGAGACGGAATTTGTAAGTTCGCCCAAGCTCGCTACTGGCTCATATGAGGTAGTGCTCTTGTGGTAAGTGGCGGAGTCAAGGATCACTTAGTCAGAGAGGTCGAAGTTGGTCCAGATAGGCAAAGGTAGTGAAAGCCGAGAAAAATGACTATTACTGGAGTGCCACGTTGCTCACTCCACTCATGCATCTCCATGATTATTTCCTTCAACGGTGGAATAATGATAGAAGTTTGAATAGGCGATGGCGCAAAAGACAAAAACAAAAAACAAGCTATACACCAAATCTCCGGCACTCCCTCCCCCATCCTCAGGCCGACACCGTCAAATGAGACCCCTTATTGCAAGGTGATATAGCGAAGTCCTCGCTAGCATCCGGCTTGCCACAGACTGCTATACAACAACCGAGAATTCTGGATATACACGAGCTGCGAATTGACCGTCCAATACATTGATATCTCTACCACCCGGAACGGCGGCGCCAGCCTTCATGGTCTCAGCTAGAACCGGATAGCACATAGTCGATTGGCCGTCTGGAGCAGCTGTTGCGATCAAGGCTGAAGGCTGAACCAGACAGCGACGCGAGAACCTAGGCGATGGTGTCTCGCTCCGGCCAACCATATCTGTCCTTGAAGTAGTCAATGGCCTTCTGGCGGTCGATGCGACTGAGGATGTTAGGGAGCATGTGTCCGTGCGGCAATCCCAATGTATGGCCCATCTCATGTCGAAACTCTCAAAAGAATTTAGACTCCCATGTATCCGTACCGAAGTTCTCGACTTTCATCGTTGCCTCATTTGGTGGGATACAAAGGATGTCTGTTCCCAGAGATAACCAATGCCCGTCATCTGGAGTTCGGCGATTCGAACCTTACCGACAGAAGAAACTTCACGGGGCTGAACATTTGCGAACGCTCCCCTAGCATTCACATGACTCAAAATTACCTTCCGAAGAGCAGCCTCGGGTCCATCAAGAAAACTGACTGTGAGATCGGCGTCGGCTGCTCCCCAATACTTGGATGTGAGCAAAACGAGCCGGAGGACGGGAAGGTGGTTCAGTTCCGTCTTCGCCACTATTTGAACTATAGGAGCGTTTGCCGGGTTATGCACAGCACGGGCAGCCGCTGACTCTCATTGATCAGCGGGGAGAACTTTGGTGCTGCAGCCTATGACTTCAGGAGCACCGTTCGAATTGCTTTTGGAGCATCGCTGGACGTCACCATGGTGAGTTATGAATCAGAGAGGTGTCCTGTTACAAGTGCAGATAAGTTGGAATATACTGGAGCAGTCATGCAGAAACAAAGTGTAGGGGGCCAGAAAACATACTAAGCTGATATACAAGCAAACTGGGACATTGTATTCTTCCTTTCAGGATAAAGAAGGGAGTATAAGAAGTTCCCAGACACCCACAGTTTTGCTCGAGTTCTGCCAGGTCTCAAATGCCCAGACGACCCAGATTCAGCTCAAGGAGCAGGCTCAATAGTTCAGGATATATTTCTCGTGCCAAAGCTGAAGTCTCGTATTGCACCCGGTGGTGGCATCGAATTGCGTCTCTAACATTTGCCATGAATCTCAGCTGAACCTGAGCGAGTTCGCTGTTGTACGAAATCGCTGGCGCTGTCGTCTTCCAGAGAAACTTCCGTCTTCTCGCTGTTCAGCAAGATCCTTCTACTCCATATACCGAGTGCACAATGGCCGGAACTCGGGAGAAGTCTTCCAGAGCCTCTGAAGACCCCGTCCAGATGGTGGCTCTGAGGGAGTTTAGAAGGCCTGTGATAGTGGATGCCGTGAATCTCTCTCGCGTCTCCACAATATAGGGGCGCCAACAATTGCGAATGTGATGTATGACCACAGTCTGGCTTGCGTTTGCAAACATCAGCTTCTCTATAAGGTATCGAGATGCGCGGCCCATTCCTCTCGCGCTGGGGCAGGCCGTTTGTTCCTGAAGCGACCTTCCATGCAGCTCATCATCGACGGGAACAGTTCTGGCCAAGGCCTTTCACTCCGCAATAAAGAAACACCCACTGGGGGCACGTGAGTAGGGTTCCCAAATGCCAAGACAAACCTAACACGAAGAAGGTTGTTTGTTGACCGTGTTTGCCAAGGACGAGTCGGGGATCTTTGGCAAAAAGAGGACGCTGAAGGGATTGCGAACCAACTCATTATTGAAGACATCAAATCTAGAACACTAACCGGATGTCATCCCAAAGCTTCCAAGGACCCGGCTTCAAAGTCTATGCCCGCTGGCGGCCCCTCAGTTTGAGTGAACAAGCAAGAGCCGAGATTGAATGCAACACAATTCAGCACAGCAATACAAACATGTCTGTATCTCTGGCCTCTCGGCCGGAGTCAGGCAGACCTCGGTCATGGAAAAGCGCGCCCTCTTTCACACATATATTTGAACCCGACGCTAGCAACAATGATGTATTCGAGACCACTGTGGCGCCGGCGATCACTCAGGTTCTAAGTGGAGCGACCTGCAACTTTTTTGCCTATGGTCATTCTGGGAGTGGCAAGACGCACACAATCATAGGATACGACTACGACCGAAATGAAAACCTGGGTCTGTCTCTCGCCGCAGCACGAGATCTTATGGCAGCTCTTGATCGCGTGAATGCAGCCTGCTCTGCCGACGAAAGTGGAGGAGGCCAGAGCACCTTTGGCATTGGCCTTCGTTTATATGAGCTGCGAAAGAAGAGCGCTTTCGACTTACTCAATAAGCGAACGGAATGCTTTGTTCGCGAGGGGCCAGATGGCCAAACTCACATTCGCGGGCAAACCGAGTTACTGGACGGAGGGAAAGTGAGGGTGCGTCCCATTGTCACTCGTCCTTGCTGGACCTTGGAGGATCTACGTCGAGAGCTATTGACCGCCCTCGAGCTTAGGTCAACGGGTTCATCTACCGTACACGACCAAAGCTCCCGAACCCATGCCGTACTAGAGCTTGAAGTTGTGAACAAGGAGCTTCTAGAGGCTCGCGACTTGGTCATTGAACGCCAGTCTGAGCTTGTACCTGTTGCAAAGCGTGCGACAGATATTTACCTGGAAGAAAGCATGAAGTCCCTTATCAAGACTCCGGAAGGCAAATACATACCCAACCCAGATCATCCCCTGGATCAAACTCGAATCGACGCTGCGGAAGCAACGAAAAGCGAATTCGAAGCCAGGTTGCGAGCGGCAGAGGACAATGTTACTACCATTCTAGCCTCGAGGAGTCATCCCTCTCTGGGTGGAAAATTCGTCTTCGTGGACTTGGCAGGATCCGAATATTTTGACGCAGCGGCCGGTGCTGTTGGACGCAACATAACCCCACAGGACCGACAGGAGGGCCGGCAGATAAATTCAGATCTGTTTGCCCTAAAGGAAGTTATACGTGCTCGTGCTTTAAAACAGACACGAATCCCGTATCGTTCCGCACCCTTGACTATGGTACTGCGCGAACACTTCACTGCCTCCGCAGAGAGTTCTTCGGCGATGATCCTTACCATCTCCCCCTCGGCCGAGCAGTATGCCGCAACCGTGAATACACTCAAATACGGCAACTTGGTTGGTGTTGCTGGTGGAGATCAGGCGGGTATGGCGGAAGCCTAGAAGATTGCGGCAGGAACGTGTCCCTGGGGTGTGACGACCGAGTGCACTCTTTACGGTAGATCTTGATAGCCGGCCACAGAAGTGAATTAGTGCAATTTTTGATGACGTTGCCGGTTTAACCAATTTCTTCTCTTTCACCCCACAAACCTCTTATAGAGTGAGCGAGAACTTTGGGGCCTACGACTTTACGGACCATTACCACTTGCTTGTGCAAGAAGCCACTTTCCGCGTTCCCTCCAAAGGTGCTCTTATAGGGTAGGGATTCAACGACTGAACACCTACCCTCTCCCACGTAGTTGGAAGGAGGCGGAGGAGCCCAATGGAAAAGCATCCTGACACCCTGAAAGACCCGGGTCGGGACGACGATGCTACAGAGTTAATGACTTCCTGGCTAAGAACTGAGTCAGAAGGTGCTCAGTTCTTCACAAAGTCATACCACAGCTGCATATAGTGACAATTAAAAATCTCCAGATCAAAAAGATTTGACCAGACCATTGCTTCCCGACATCAATCGATGCAGAATTGAGGGAGATTTGACTCATACTCTTGGAAACCTGCACGGCCCAGGGATTTCTCGTTTTCAAGTTGCATGCAGTTCAAGCAGAACGGTTCCTCGCCGAATATTCCAACACAGTGGCCATGCCCACACTGGAACAAAACAGCTATGGCTGCGAGCCGAGCAGGCCAATTTCCATGTGCACGCACAATAGCAGTGGACGATGGACTGTCAAGCAACTCTTCCCAACTATCAATGGACGTAATATCCGTGTTTGAGGATGTCTCAAGCTGACCGCCACATGTACAGTCGGCGCGCCTGTTGAACTTGGTAATAGCCTTGAAATCGACCTCGAGGATGTTAAGATCAGCGACCCAGTTTCCTCTGTCTCGAACTGAGAGGACGGATCCGACAAAGTAGACCTCTTGGTCTATAATGTTTGAGACAAATTGGGAGGCCAATGGCTGCGCATATTCTGTAAATGAAAGATGGAAAGAGGTACCTGTGAAGTTGTCCTCCCGCTTGGAATCGTATGGAGCATGATTGACCATTCTATAATCATCGCCGAGGGGTCTGATTTGAGGATCTTGGTGTGTCACAAGCAATGAAATACCTCTTCGACCGATATTTCCAATGATATGTCGGAACCCGTACTCTGGAACGATCTTTGCCGGGTCGGAGAGGATGAAGCTAGGGGCATACAAAGAGTTTCCCGCGCTCACTGCCAATACTTCCGTCAACTCTTCGGGGTCAATATCAATAGAACCCGAATCGAAGAAAATTATACAACTTAGTGCCTGTTGACGGGTCGGTAGCGAACATATCGGAGTGTGCATTCTGCTCTGGATATTTAGAACTCGACATTGCATAGGCACAATGTCACTGTCATTTTCGGGAATCATCGAGCCCTCACGTGGGATGATCTTCGGAGCCCAGGATACCTCATGCAGGGGAGAAGAAAGACACTTCAGGTGTATGGTCGGGTTGGTGACTGGCTCGAAAACGATATCTGCAATCGCAAGGTTGTGTAGAGCCCGGCACATCGCGGATGAGAATTTTGAAGACTTCGAAACAAGTGAAACGCCAACCTCGGAGCCGTATGCAGTAGACTGCCGCCATGACTTGTGAGCCAAAGAGGACATGTAACTCCATAAAGTGCCTCTGTGGGCGCTGGATCTTAGAGCATCCAAAGCGGATAATGGATCAATCCGAATATCAGTGCAAAGGTTGATCCTCTGAGCTAAGTATAGACCGCAATGATATGATCCTAGCCCACGAGTGAAAGATATTCTTTCGTCACTTTTTCCTGTCAGACAGTCGCAACCTAGTGACTGAGTGCTAATCTGGTCCAATGTTGTGTGTGAAGTTGTATTGCTTGCGTTGCATTTCAAGTGAGAGAAGAGTTTGGGGGGATTGTACCATAGTAGGTTGTTGCCATCATCCTTTGACACACTTGTGTCAGTGATAACTAGCTCTCCCTTCATTGAGATAGCATGTTTTCGCTGTTGGAGAGCCCCCGCCCCAGCCCCAGTCTTCTGAGGCTCGAACCAGCGGGCCGAGAAGTTGACAAGCTCTTGAGTGCCCTTGCCCACCACATCCGCCAATATTTGGTGTGGGCGTGCAGTGGCATATTCATACAGAGTTGGATTCTTCACGCTTGACTCGAACTCTTCCCAGTGTCCACATAGGATTATTGCATTACCCGGCTCTACCCCGGAAGCTTGTGCTACAGACCGAAGGAAGTTAACACCACATTCAGGGTCTTCAGCAGCTTTTAGAGCTTCAACGACATGCCTGTTGTTCAAGCCAAAGAATGGATTGATCGTTTCCTCTGCAGGTCCAAGGAATTCTCTTCCGCGTCTATACCCAAAGCCGATAATCCGCAAGTAGTCTTCATAGAGAGGAGTGTTGTTTGACTGGGCAAGCAGAAGATCGTTTGAGGCTTGTATAAATGTGTAGAGCCATCGAAATTGCTCAGTTACAGGCTGATGTAAGGGACGGTCGCCGTTCTCGATAAGTATTTCCCAAAGACCACTCAGAAACTTTGCTGCTGCAATAAAATCTCTACGGTTGAGCCTCCATTTGAAGAACAAACAGCCCAAGACGGCAAGACGCACTCTTCCGAATGATACCCGAGGCTGACTCGCCAGACTGGAGACTTCCGCAGCTCCTCCGTAGTATCGGAGGTGGGAAAGGGTCAACGACCACTGAATTCCACGAGAAGATTTGTCAGCGGGCAATAACCCAATTGTGCCGATACCGTTTTCAGGAAATAGGTCGTCTCGGAAAGGTATCTTCAGGACTCCATCAGCCAGCAATATTAGATCAGGAAAAAGATGCCACGCTGAGAAGGCGAGTAGTATAGAGGCGTCCGATATCTGCTGTGGGAAACCCTTGAGCAAATCCTCCATGCCTGCCATTGCCTGTGTCCACGCTGCAATGACTTTGGCGTAGGTTGTCGGCCCCTGGCTGAATGCAATGTTCAGGTCCTTGGTCACAAGCTCCAGCTGCTTCACGTGCCATTGCTTGGCTTGGTCCGCACTTCTCAGCCAGGACCGTGCACTTGCATCCCAAAGAGCCAAATCTTCTCGGCTGATATCCTGTAATGTGCTCATTAGAGTGGTCGTTGGAGTATGCTCTCCATTTTCAAATCCGCTCCGGATTTCGTTTGCTCTTGTTTTGACGAGTTCGACCCAAATTGAGACAGCCTGACTTGAATCCCATGCTCGTGCCAACATGCAAGCAAGTAGGTACATCCCGATCGCTCCAGGGCCAGATGTAGCCGCAGCCCACATGGCAGTACCGTCAGCTCCTACGAAGGGTTCAAACGGTCCATCCTGGGTTGACCCACGGGGATTGATACTGCGGTGAGAAATAATGCTACTGACTCGCCTTCCATATGCGGAAACCAAATGGGGTTTCGAGGGGGTGATGTATTCGAAAAGAGCTGCCAGTCGTCTTGCTGTTCGATGGACAGAACCGGTCTCAGCTTCCAAACGGCGACGAGCAGAAAGTGCTGGACCGACCGGTGCAAATTCTGCTGGAGCCTCTACTCTGAAGAGAGTGAAATCGAATTTTGTATTTATCAATGCAGCCGAGTTCTCGTTCGTAAGGCTAAGCGCCGAGGCCAGGAATTGATCGAAGCGCGGCATGTTTGAGATGGGTATCTGCAAGGTCGGTCGGTCGTAGTGTAAAGAAGAACGAAGTGTGAATCTTTCTGGCTGCTAAGATAGCCTGTTGACGCCTTGTGCCGAGCGAACTGGACTGTGTGAGGAACGGCGTTCAGGGAGGCTGCGGAGGGAAGGCTATCAAAGGAGCATAGTGTGCTCGAGATCGAAGTTTGCGTGCCAGTGTCAGGGAAAACAAGGTTCTCGTGTGTCCGCTTCTAACATCGCCAGCTGAAGGCTTTTGCAGGCTCTCGTGTCTGAAAGATGACCAGAACTGTGCAACAGAATGTGAAAGGCGCATGTTGAAGATTGTACAATCAGGCTGAAGTACAGGCTGGAGGGGCAGTTCTGACTGGGCTGATCAAGAACCCATTTTCCTACTGCTGTTACGTCTTCATAGGACGCTAATTATGCGACTGGCCGGATAGTCGAGACGTGTAAAGACCGTCACGCTAGTCCTCGGTCGAAGGCCTTCGGACTAGCGTTGACAGCGCCAGTGTAATTTACCAGACAGGATATAGTAAGACAAGCCCCTATGGCCGGGTGGAATCTATCATGTCCCAGCATGTCCTCAGTTGAGGCACAAGTGAAATCATAATGCTCCCGTTTTCTTTACAGCTGAAAGGGGATTAGCGGCCAAGCAATGACACTGACTGACATCCCGAAAACTGACATTACAATTCTTGGCGTCATTCATTCGCAAAGCTTCAAGATGGCGCTTGTGGTGGCCGCAAAGATGCGAATCAGCGCGGAGTGAGATCTGAGGAGAGAGTAAGTGAACTGGCGACCAAGCACATCCCGATCCACAGGCGCCTCTTGGACAAATGGGAGGATGCGAAGAAGGCTTTAAGCTTACCCATCGAGCAGCCCTTAGGACGTCCCTAAGATACACCAACCACAGTGGCGTCTTCAACGGGTTGGTTTGCCGGAAAGATTCTGACACAATCCTGCAGAAGCTATGCAGCAATTTATGCTGCCGATACTAGTACATTGCAGAACTCAATGGAGAATCTTTGCCACAATCTCACAAGAATTCCAGTGTTTATTCTATAGGTTCGGTGGCGCAGCTCACAAACTTCGGCAAAGAGCTGCCTGTGCTGTCGTTCCATTCATAAAATCCTCTTGGAATCGAAGCTCTTGACCAAGGATTCGGACGTGTGCGTTGCGAGATTTAGAGGCGATGTCACTTTAGATTCCGCCTTCGCGACGCGAATGTCAGAAATGACGCTTTAGCTGGCCATCTGGACCTGGAAGTTCAAATACGCTGTAAGTCGGATAATCCCAGTTTCGAGCGAATACTGGCGTCAAAATTCTTTCCACGCCTCGATCTCGACCGTCATTGTAAACGGCGTGAGCGTATCATCCGTGGAAGGCCGTACCCACTGCTTGCTTTTTTCACCTTTGCTACAGTTCTGCGCATTCGTTTGGATGCACCTGCACAGTCGCCGCGACAGGATCTGTGGCACGACACTGGGAGACTTTGTCGTTATTCTATACGCCTATGGCATTGTTATCGGGTGACCCGAATCTGGTTGAGTTTGCACTGATGTCTGAGGAAACACGCAACCGGGAGACTTGTATGAAAGAAGAGGCCTGGGACTGGCGCAAAGAAATCTGACCACGGGTAGATTGCCTTCAAGTTTGGGGCCAATTTGGAAAGACATTACACCAACCTAGTAGCATTTTTCTAGCCTCATGACCTCAAGAAATCGCAACTGTCAGACTCTGCCGCGTACCAGGCAGATTTTCCTACCCGTGTGTTAGTGAGGTGCGATCCATGGCCTCCAGGATCCATAGTAGTAGTTAGTATATGGTGGGCAACATATGATAATCCATGCGGGGTCGCCAAGACTAATGGGGAGCTAAACTATTGAAGGAAATTTTCGTGACGTGCTTCTTTGGCATTCCCTGGCTTACAATTCGACCTGCAGTCGCGATGGATGATGCATGTACTGAGAATAATCGACCGTGAGTCAAGCCACTAATGTATAAAATTGATCCGCGATCGATCCAAGGCTGATCGCATCTAAAAAGTACAATACTACTGTAGTTTCATCCCGTCTTTAGATGGGACTATCTCAGAAATTATTCGGATAGGTCTCTAAGGATTTAAGTTCTCATCTACTAGTATTTAATACTATAGTGTTAAATCAATAAGATTCCCTATATATAAGAACTTCTCAAAAAGACGTCTTTAGAATAGTACTTTTCATCTATACGGTACTAGTATTTCTAGGATTTGTAGACTAAAGACGGTATATACAGTATAAAACCCTCAGTATTTTGGCTCCGTCATCTGGTTCGTGTAAAGGGCCCCAATAATCCAATCAGTAGAATGGGCTAAGCATAAGAAGACGATGTCCTCCTACTTTGATAGTGAAAGAGGTCTGCCGTGCCCTTAAGTCGCTATTACGTCTCGGTAGCCTTACGGAGCATACCCTCTGAGCAGCAAAATTTTCTTTTCATTTTATACGAGTATTACAAAATTTAGCTGATGTAACTTCCACAACTCTTAGTAGATTTGGTTAACAATACTAGTAGTATCAAAGGTTCTATGTCACCTTCCCTCCAGGTGTTAAATTGGTTTCAACTGGTTCGAATCGAGTCCGCGTGATCAGCGAATTAAGCACCGACTCGCTTATAGCCTGGTCTGAGACCGATTCCAGATCGATTCGAACTGATTCGACTTAGTTTACTAGTGAAATAATAAAAAAATGAGTTATTCGATCCTGGTCGGCAGCACTTTTTCTCGAAATTTTAATATTTATCTCTTTTAATTTTAGTTTTATTTTAAAATATAAGAATTATATTACTATAATAGGAATCTATAAGTTTTATAATAATTTTTACCAACTAAAAAAAATTATAAATTATCACGAACTTAGCGTAACCCCTAAGTACTCTATATCTCTCACCTATATTAGGTATGTGTCAAAGGAAAGAAAGGATAACTGAATAAGGCATAGAGATGGTTAAAGTATAAGGCATGAGGCTGTCGGCTAGCAAGGCTATCGATTACCGTTATTTTATTCTTGGCTCATGTAATAGATAAAAGAGAGGAAGCGATAAGAATTTCTTCACCTGAATCAGGTGAGAAGGGACTCTCTTCTTTCTAAGCGTTGAGTCGTTGTTAATAGGGCTACGTGAATAGAATAAGGCATTCAGCTGCTCCAATTCTCTGTACCTACTGTGTTGCGTAGGTCCCTAGTATAAATCCATGTTAAATTAATCTAGTCTAGTTCGAGCCGACTTAAATTAATCTTAAATCGATTCGACTTAGTGTAATCCGATCTCGAATCGGGTTGAACCAGTCTAGCCCACCTACTGGTATCAACCCCTTAAATCGAGTCCAGCACAGGCCAGAACCGGGCTGGAACCGGTTTAACACTAGGCAGGCGGGCAAACAAGTTGTTCGCCCTTCCGAGCCCCATATAACACACCGCACAGATGCTATACAAGAGTGTTTACGACTGTATCACGACAAGCACTCATTCGCCAAGGCAGTAGTGATGCTGGTAAGTACCAGTATGCTTTCCCTGGAGTCATCAGAATCTTTGCGGCAGGAACATTCTGGGAAATCAGGCAGCGAAAACGTTGATGGAGTGTGGCTCTGGCATTGGGTGCTAAATCCGGCTCTCGGCAGCAATCCAGTGAGTTTCAACAGGACAACTTTACTGGTGCATGAAAATAAAACAAAATTTCCCTTCTTTAGTGCACGTAGGATTTTTAGTGGATAAGAAGTATCCTTCTCTGCGAATACAGATCTCTCCAGCTCCGTCTCCTGGCCTTGCCGTGGCCCACGTCTCAGAGGCGTTCGAGGGACGACTTAGCTTAATTCCAACCTCGCGATCAATACTTCTCCTTCTGCGCCGCAGCACCGATCCGTGTCTGCCACGGCAGCCGATGCGCGACATTGAGCTCAGTGGCCGGCGTCTTCAGCAGCGGCGCCACCTCGTCCAGCGTGCCCGCTTGCACGACTACAATGTCTAGCTCTGGCATGAAGTGAGGCACCGCGTAGATTGGGCTGCCGCAAGCGGGACAGAAGGACAGCGAGAACTCGAATCCCTCGTCCATGTGCTTCGTCTTGACCGTCTTCAGGCTGCCACTGGTCAAGGTGAACGCTTCGGTCGGCACCGTCAGATTCAGCGACGTCGTACTCCCACTGATCTTGCGACAGGGCCGGCAGTGGCACACTGATGTCTACACTCTCTTAGCAAGGTTCAAAAGAGACGGGAAGGCCGTACCGGATTGGCCGCATCCGGCGTAACATCCAAGGAGAACTTCACATTGCCGCAGAGACAGCTGCCTTCCACTGTCATGTCGAACGCTGAGGGAGTGACCTTCCTCTCGGCACATGATCAGCCCTTTGTCTACCTGTCGTCCTCCTCACACTGCAAATGCCATCCAACAAACCCGCTCTGAACTGGGTTGATCGCATTGGGAGCCCCTGCACCACCGAAGCAGAACCACTCCCTCTCTCAGCGCTGATGCAGCGGTCCGAAACATGCAAATCGCGCACCCGGAGTTTCACAAACCACAAAGGCCCCCGAATGACCCCCCTTCAGTAAGGCTGACATCATGGGGAGAAGAATGGAGCTCCCTATCCACCGTCGTACTCGATGGGGTTCCATTACTGGCTCCGGCATTCCCCATGTTCTGGTGTTTGGGTGTCCCCTAGGAAGAGGTTAATTTGACCCAGTAGCAACCCATTTGGAGAAAGACAGTAGTACCACGGTGACTGCTGGACAGGGACTTCTGCTCTTCATCGCCGTTAGCTATCGCCATCATGATTGCGAAAGAATCCACCAACAGCGAGAAGCCATACACCCTCCAAGCGGAGGCGCAGAGGATCTACGAAACCATTGTCAACGACCCCAGGCTCAATGTCCCCGAGGACGTCAAGGCTCTGGCCGACCGAATCCACTTTGTGGGTGAGGAGACACAGCCATTCTACCCAGTTCCCTACAAATGTGCAGAGTCACAAG